TTCTCTTATTTAAAATACTAATAGAGATTTTAAATGTTATTATTGCGAAAAGCTCATTTTAAAGCAAAAAACTCACTTTAAGATTTCTCCCAAGTCTTATGCTCGCGGCTCGACAGTCTGCGATCTAATCGACAACAGCTTCTCGTTTAGCGTGTTTTATACACAGAAGAAACACAGCCCTACTCGAAGACAAAGGTTATAAATCGCGCAACATCTTCAATACGTCCGTCATTGTCGACGAGCAAGACATAGTTCGCTCACTCGTACTCGATTTCACATGTCAGGTTTGTAAAATCTCGTCTGCGTCTGATTCATTTGAAAAAAATGTCAGGAAACATCAGAAACGAAGGATGCGTCACATTCGCGTTACAATATTGCATAGAACGTCCAGGGCCGATTTCCAAAGCAATTTAGATGCACAAAAGCGATTTCATATTTTAAATTTTAATATCATGTGAGAGTCATAATTTTAATATCACATGAGAGCTAATTATATAATTCCCTTTATAATTTATAAAAATTTATTTACATCTTCTTTTCCTGCCGTTATTGTATCAATAAATAAATACAGAATAAAAAATAATAACTTACAATTTAATAATTTTCCTGAAACTGCATTTTGTCGACATGATGTTATTTCAAGTGAACTTTACACATTTAAAACTTTTTATGCGTTTAATGATCGATTTTTTATTCATTAATAATTACCAAAATATATGTATGCGACCCTGACAATAAAAGAGTCGTGCGAATGTATGCGAAGACACGCAAAGACGAGCAATTGCCTCCATGGACATTTTTCTTCGCAAAATTTACTGGAAAAGCAATCTACAAGAGACATTGATCATTGGCCTATTCTACTTTGTCACATGCTAAACAATTATACATCGCAACTACTCATTTCGGCAACATAATCCTTATTTCGGCTGTTAATCGTTCGTCACTAATTACGCGTGGAATATATATACACGACAAACATTGTCATGTATTTCACAAAACAAACTTTAAAGATTTATTCACTTTTATTCGACATATTGTATATCGATTTCCCTATTCAGTTGACTCCCTTACTACAGCAACATAAAAAATGAATATGATAGAATTAGGAGCTATTTAGAAGTTTTTATATCCCGCAAATTAATAATTTTCAGCTCGTTATTCAGAGCAGAAATTTTAATTTTTTGTCTTTTTTGCCTACGTCGAAAATTGAACTTATTGAAATTACTTATTAAAATCCTTGATTTTCATATATATATATAAGGGAAGAGAGCGTATACTTTGTCTCTTTTTGGATAATACTTGTCGAAGAATGTTCCTTTACTTTTGTATAATTACTGTATCTGAAAGATCATTATCGCATGCCTATGGCGTGTGATAATGATCCTTCATTTGAATGCAAATTCAGCGAAATTATACCAACATTAACCCTTAATGGAAACTATGATAGATATTTGGCGGTATAATAATAATAATAGCCATTTATTTGATTTACTAATATAAGCGAGAGAGAGACAATATTATTTTAACATGGATTTATTTCCGTTTAGAGCGAAAAAGAAAATCGTAGGATACAGTATAACTGCTCGATATAAAATTGGAATAGTTTAGAAGCACGGGCGAACTCTCGACCAATCAGCGACGCGCATTTTGAACATTCGAGTCAGTTAATAATCGGCCGCTGAATCGTGTAGATCGCGAGTGGATTATTGCTTTAAATAATTACCGAAAACCGACATCGTGCTTCGAAATCGCGCTCGAATAAATGATAAATCGCTAAAATTCGTTTCCTGAAATATGTAATACGTGTTCGTGGTACGTTTTGTGTGTGATTAGTGATAACGAATGAGACTAAAGTGAGGGCGATATTCTTGGGAGAAGTACCTGCGAAATCCAGGATATACCGAGTGCAAGGATCAAGGATTAAAGAGGAGCTACTTGGAAAGCACAAACAAGTGCTCTGACAATGTAAATATTTTTGAACTTTATTTGTTCGAAAACCAATATTGCACATAATATATGTCCTAATCGCCTACACAGCCTTTTATGTCGGCTTTAAAAAACAAAGTGTTCATTTACCATAATTAATAATGAATACAATTTATATCTAACAAATATATTTCGGTGTATGGAGCATTTGAGGTGAAGGGGAAGAAGTGCTATAGGTATAAAGCATTTGACACAGTATTTATCACATGCAAAATTCTATTGATAACTACATAATTATCATGTAATTAGTCCAATCAATTTATATGTGATATTGTTTAATTCTGATGTTATATTTAATTGACAAATGAACACATCATATGGAGACAAATAAGCTACTTGTAGCTATACTTGCAAGAATGAAAATATCCCATTCAATTAAGGAAATTTATTTTAATGAAGTATTACTTTTCTTTTAATAATTTTTTTCTGTAAATTTCCTCTATTTAAATGCGTTCTTTTTATTTGCCTAATAATTATTAGTAGCAAATTTATTTTTATTATATGCTGATATCAAGAATTTAATTAAATATTTTGATAATATGTAATCCACGATTATGATAATAAATATCACATTACTACCATGTTTGGTATGCAAAAATAATTATGCCTTTGTTTTCATATAATGAAAGAGATATTACATTATATGTATTTTGTAAATTTCATTATATAATATAAAATAGAATATTATTTTTTATTACCAGAAAATCAATTTCTATGTTATAACATAATGGAAAGATATATATGCTTTAATAACTTATTAATTATGCCATAATGGCATATTATAATATCACTGCGTGTATATGTACATTATGGTATATACAGAGTGTCTAATATATCTTTATCCAAAAAAATATTTCCATCTGAAAAAATTAATATTTTTGTCATATGTTTGCACAAGTAAAACATTTTTCAATACTTTTTTTCTATATTCCTCTAATATTTCTAAAATATATAACAATGTTATACACATCATGCAAAATATTCTAATATATATTTATAATCATAATAGATTAACGTGGAAACCTTATTGCTATATCTGCTTGAAGGATTCTTTTTTAAGAATTTCTTTCTTATTTTCATAAGAAAATTTCAAGTTACAAATTATACGTTCACATATTTGTCTTCTATAATTTTCCTACTACAAGAAAAAGATCATTAAGATTTTTTGAACTGATATTACACGTGATTAGAAATTTTATTTAAAATTTATCATAAAAATTTTGCTATTCTATCAAGTTCATAATTAGATTGGAATCATTGTGATATATATTTTATAAAAACGTACATTTTGATATCATTTATACATTTCTTATATTACAAGTCATTTTTATACACGAACAATAAAAACAGAAAAATAGAGGATGCTCTTATTGAAATAGCACCTTCAATAAAGTTATTCTGTAGGGACAGCACTTGTGCAACCTTAGGGAAAGCACTTGTGCAACCTTGCTTATAATAACAGTTATAAGCAATACATTCTATGTGAGTGTTTAACAATTGAGCATGTGTTTAGCAAAGAAAAAGAAGTGCTTGATGCAAAAAGAAGCATTTGCTACAGATACTGTCAAATATACTATACTATATAGAATACTTGTCATAAATACCAATCTAAATAAATGCAAATGCTTCTTCTGGTTTATGTCTTTTCATTGTCAATTCGTTTATTATCATATCACAATATTAAAGATAAAATATTACGATTCTGTGTTTTATGTTTTTAATTGGCCATTATTTGCGGATTAATTGTAAAACCCTGAGTAGTTACTAAATTAAAGAAGTACGTATATAACTAGTTTTACTGTTAAAGAATCTATAAATAAATATGATTAAAAAATATTTAGCAGAATACTTTACAAAATACTTTAAATATCTTCTTTTTTGTACTCGTGCGAAAAATAAATTTCGCGGTTCAATAATGTTATTTATTATAATATACAGTATATAACAATAGGATGCGATAAATTATAATACACTTTTATCGGTCATCTTTTTTTTTTTATCTTTAACAAAGTAATAAGTTTTATAGTCAACACAAGTATCATTTGTTAACTATTTACAACTGATTAATAGATTCTGATTCACAAAGATTTGTAACATTGGGTTTAAATACATTACATTTGTGTACAAGAATGGAATAAACACCATCTTCGATAATAATTTTCCACACATCTATAAAAAGTAATATGTGTCTTTAAGTTGTGGTAATCTACTAATAATAATACTGCTAAGTACAATTAATTCTGTAGCTGTTGCTATATAATTATTATATAGTTATCATACAAAAAATTGCATATATAAGATTAAAAATAAAATTAATTTCTTTTAATTATCATCATTTTCACTTTTAATACAGTATATTTATATATGATTAATAATTATATGAAGTTACAATAATTGTATGAAGTTATACATGAACATCTATAGGATTAATTATATTTTGCAGTATTATTATTATGAGTAAAACTGAAAGATAGATATTTTTTATGGATATTATATGGAAAATTATTATCATAAACAACATTTATGAAAAAATATCTATTTTTGAGTTTTTTGCTCATAATAATACTGCAAAATATAATTAATCTTCTATAACTGTTTATATATAATTTCATATAATTATTGTACAATTATATATAGATATATTGCATTAATATAAACATACATCGTAATATTATATTTCATTTCTATACATAGCACGCTAATGTATTTAATAATAAATCCAATGTTATCTATTAACAAATATTTGTGAATTAATATCTACTAATGAATTGTAAATAATAAACTTATTTTTATTGGCAAATAATTTCCTCTAATTCTGACTGAGAAAGTTCCATAATTTATATTTTTTATTTATTTATAATTAATTTGTTTCTTAGTTTGAATCAATTTGAGTCGTCTCTTTTTATCATTTCAATTGAAATCACATGTTATATTAATTTTATCTTATGAAAGATAGTTAAAAAAAAACGTACTTTTTAATCTTTTTATGTTGCTTCAGCTAAGAAATTGATCTATAAAAGAAGAAAAGTTTTATTATTTTTTTATATATATGCAACTGCATTGCAAGTCTTACAGAGAGAATCGCATCTTTAACTATAGTATACAGAAAATATTTCGATATAGTCGATGTCTCGTGGAAAAATAAATACGCTCTGTTCCTAAATCGCTTGTCGCTTTATCTTCCAATACACTCGACTCCATAGTTGTCGTTTATGACTAAAGTTTCATACTCCAGATAGTGCATTTCCTCGCCGTTCAGCGGTATATAACACGTTTGGTGATTCGGTTGTATCTTGCCGATATAGTAAACGCCCTCGTGCAGCACTCTGCCGATAAACAGAGCGCAACCATCCTCGGACTCGCCGGCAGGCAGTGCGTACAGAGGCACGCTACCCTCCCAAGATTTTACCCAGTTCACATCTTTGTTGCACAATACTTGGAACTCGCGTTTCTCGTGGACTCTGCCGCCCCACGCTAGGATACAGATATTATCGCGAATGCCACCTGGTGTCACGGTACTTTGGTGATGTGCTCGACCGATGTACAAACCATCCTCAGAAGCCATCACCGCGTTTCGTGGCAATCCAAAAGCCTCGTTGAAGTCCACCCAGAAGTGGCACGTGTCCACCAATTGTTGCCTGATGGCTAGCGACATGAACTGGCTTTCTGATAGTAGAATAAGATTTTAAAAAATGTTTAAAGCATTTTTTCTGAGAATTTTGATTAATTAATTTGATATAAAAGATCTACAATGTTTGATTATACTGTTATAGTATTTAGCAATTGTTAATTTTAAAATGCGTGACTAAAATAGAGTTTTTCTACAATGGCAGGAATGAATTAACATACCTTCAATTCTCCATTCTCCAGTTGCACCCCAAGCAGTACTAACTCCTATATAATTTATAACAAATGGGTTTCTGTCTTTATAAGACATGAATGGCATATCTAAATCATCTTCGCGGCTAACACTTAATAATCCATCGCAAGACCATCTGTAAAATAGATTAAACTAGAGATTAAAACGAGAAATGCAAATATAAATTCATGTCTCTAAATTTATCTAAGAAAGAAAAAAGAAATAATTTTCTTACTGTATAAAAATATCACACATCTCATCAGGATTCAATATATCCCTAGTATCTGCTTCTGCTACATCTGGTTCTGCATTATTTTTTTTTATTGCTGACATAGTATTTCCCCATCCACCGATAATAATCTAATGCAAGACAAATTAATGTTATATAATGCAGGATAAAATTAATTTATCCTTATATTATATATATAGACAAAAATATAGAGTAAAAATAAATTATAGTAGAAATATGATAGTAAAGTATTAAACCTCGTATACATTGGAGTCACTACAAAGATGTGTCCGTAAGGCAATCCTTGCATCGTGGCTGGCTTTAATACCTAAACTAACGCTGTTTTTTGTGATGGGTATATAACGGTAATCGAGACTGTCCACTGTAGTAATTCTAACTGAAATTAATTATTAGTCAGTACAATTAGGAAAATTAGAATTGCAAAATATATTAATCTCTCTTTTTTTTTATACAAAGTTAATTTGCTAATCTTATCTATTCCCTACCAGGAGAATGATGGAAAGGAAAATAATTATAATAGATTTAATTTATAATATAAATAAACTCACTTGGACTCATTTTTCAAAAAGCCTAGAACTTTTCCGACATGCATAAATCAATATCAAAATGATTCATACTAATAGTCATATATCGTTCGTATTCGCGTGATGTACCATCCACCGTTTAAGACCCAAGTTATCTCTCTTTCATTATATCTCAATCACTTATCGCTTAAAACAAATAAAAAAATCACATTAAATTTCCTTACACAACTCAATCACTCGCTATCAGTAATTAATAATGTGCCATAAGAATAATATTTGTTTATTCTCTCGCCTAACCTTCTTACTGAAACTTATTAAATGTCGCATAATTACGTATCGGTACGTATTCATATCGGGGGAACAGGTATATAAAGAATATATAAGAGAGAAATATTAATATTATAATATAACGTCAATGCCATTTCCACTAAAAGTAACTGTGAACTTTTGTGTACATATCGAAACTCCTCAAGTCTCGAAGTGACGTGTTGAAACAACGTTGCATTTAAGATCATGCAGATGATGCTAGATTATAGACTCAAGCTCAGTTTACAGCATGCTTTTTTTATTATCAGTGTTAACATATGATGTAATAAAAAAGATATTTTATTTACAATAAATGAGCATATTAGCATTCAATCAGAAATAGTCCATTAATGGTGAGATAAAATACTTTTCCTATCAAATTATGCGCTAGTGTGCTAGTACATATAGCTAGTAAAAAAAAAAAGCATCGTATAAATCATATGCTTTTTATATTGATAAACTGCGCACTTTTATTAAAGGCAAGAGATCTCCAGCATCATTAAGAGAGGACAATAGACAGATGCTTTCCTTGCCTGATTCTTTTTATCAATTGCAAGCAAAATCGGATAAGGAAAATATTCGAATTATCCTCTCTTGTTGATGACTGATGTTGATTTCTTACCTCCAATGAGAGCGCGCGGTCTATCTGTATAAATTTATCTGTCAGATGATGCAACATAGACTCGAACACGTGCGCAGCAATGGACACAGCTTCCGAAACATCAACATGGTCTAAATCGACTCACTCGAGAATTTGATTCGTTACCAAGACAAAATTTTTACAACTCACTGAAATGCATGACAGTTCAAGTACATCGCTGTTCATTGAGAACGTTTACGATATGAACAAGCGAGCGCCTTTATCCGCTGCCAATCGAAAAGTTGTCACGTCGCGAATTATAGATTCTACGATCCCGTACTCATGTCTCATGTCCCGCACGACGGACGTTCCACTGTTGTCAGGATGCCAGCGATATTGCGATATTCGATACTTTCATCTCGATATTCTAACGATAAGTTAGAAGCACTTTCGTTCGATGCTATAAAAAAGTATGGTAATACTTTTTTTTTTCAATATTGCAAGTACTTGGGAAGATGTTTTTTATATATTAATTATTAATACAGCTTGTGTGATATATTACGTGTATATTAAATATTGTTAATACATTTAAAAAGTATAAAAATTATAGAGCTCTTTATCTGTAATAAGAATCTTAAAGTATGGTCTTAATTTGCGATATATCGCGCGCCAAATCAAATTCCGGGATATTCTTCGAAAGATATGATCTCATTTAAATGCATGCAGTTTGTTTGAAGATAAGATTCCATCAATTACTTTTCTCGAAGGTCAAGATTTTACTTACATTGGTGTCAAAGAGAGTAGCACGCTCGGAATTAATTGCATTCGACTTTCCATTCTGATTTTACTTTCTGTACTCTATAACATGCACACAAACATTCGCACATAGCATTATAGAAAGGCAATAAATTATACATACACGCACAATTCTTATCTCTATGATCAAGAAACCAAATTCACGTATATGCATCTAATAATAGTAATAATAATAGCTTAATGAAACAAAGTAAATTCTTCTTGCAAGTTCTTGTTAATGCTGCGCGTGTATTTTTCTTTTATTTTACACTAAAAATTAATTATTAATGATACAGGTACAAGCACGCAAGAAGTAATGACGCACACAAACATTTCATTGAAAAAAATTCATCAAATATTCGCGTACTAACACTGAATATCGCATGTATGCAAATCAATAGAAACATTGACATTTAGGTAATTGACATTTAACTGGGTCATTGCCAAGTACCTATTGAAATACATTTGATTAACTTTTAGGATATCAGAGTACGCGGTTGAATGAATATAGGTGAATGTACGTGCGTGCGCGGAAAGTAGAAAGCATTAAAAAGAACAACGAACACGTAAAACTATAAACGTCGAGCGTAGATATATCGTACATAGATGCATACGTGAAGAACTATTCCGATTTCCGCAATCAAGTTATAATCTTTTCTGCTTCGCTTACGAACTTTCAAAATTGATGGATGAACTTGAAATGTCACATATATCCGGCAATTGTATGCATGCCAATGATTCTGACCGAGATTATTTATAATGCACTTTTTCTATTTTGTAATTTATTGATTAATATTGTACTCTATCAAAAATAATATTTATATTATTAAATGCTTTTTTTTTTTTTTTTTTTTTTTTAATTTTGGTTTTTTTTTTTTTTTTTTTTTTTTTTGGAAAACGAAAGATCTATAGCGACGACCACTCTAAATTATCCGCAGTTCGTAATACGTATTCCAGCGAAGTGCATTCGTGCTTTTATGTTCCTGCAACGTGAAACCCGCATCAGTTCGCAGGACCAGACGTGATCAGCATTACGTCTGCTAAAT